TGTGGGGAGCCCGATGGGGGACTTGATCCCAGGACCCTGGGGTCATGCCTGCGCTGAAGGCAGATGCTTGACCACTGAGCCACCCGGGTGCCGCTAATTTGAATACTTTTAAAAAGTCAGGATAGGGGAGGGTATTAGGTGTAATGACCAACAAAAGAATAAAAACTGAAATAATACAATGTTTTCAAAACTCTGGGTGAAGATATTGATGAGATGAACGAAAGAAATGATTGATTTTTTAGTAAAATATAAGTGGTCAACATTTACTCAGCAATCGACAGAAAAAGTAACCAGACCAACAATCATGTAAGAAATCAAAAGATGTTAGATTCCTCTAGGACTCACATGCGAAAGAAATTGGTCAAATTCACACATCTTTTGAGAAACATGGAAGACACGGGCTATTTCGATGCTGCTGCAGCAAAAGGAATTTTCAGAGTGTAAGAGATAAAAGAGATAAACAGACACTTGGAGCACAAAGCACAAGGACCACTGCCCTAAGAAAACAACAAAGTCTGGATAACTGGGTGGAAAACTGACCAAGAAAATAAGCAGGCGATTCACATGAGAAACCAAATGATCTAGAAACATTAAGGAAATGCTCAACATATTCAAATTTTTAACACAACGAGTTATTTACCTTGTGTGATCACAAGGCCAAGACCTAAAGGATGACACGGAGTGCCGACAGAGAGAAAGCCATCACTCCCCTGGATGTAACATAGCATATCAGTATCTTTGCTGAGATATCTGACAATACCTCAACAATTAAAATGCCCCTTCTTGGCGCGCCTGCTGGGCTCATTCAGTAGAACATGCAACCCTTGATCCTGGGGTCATGAGTTCAAGCCCCACGTTGGGCAGAGACCTTATTTATCTTATTTTTTTAATATTTAAATCCAATTTGCCAACATATAGTACAACACCCGGTGCTCATCATGTCACATGCCTTCCTTAATCGCATAGACCTTACTTAAAATAAATAAGTAAAATGAAAGGTTCCTTCTTGACCAAAATTCCACTCCAGGGAACTCATCCTAAAAAAATACTCCCACAAGCACAAAGACCTATGTATCAGAGAGGTTTGCTGCATCCTATGAAGGAAGGGGAGCAGCGCAAACACAGGGCAGAGGAGAGAGGAGGGGCAGACGCCCCGCTGGAGGGTGGGTGCTGGCTGCCTCTACTGGCTGCTCAGATGGGGGAGAGCTGGGCCACACTGAGCATTGGGCATTTGGAAATCAGTGCAATGTGTGCAAAAAGCTGCACTCTACACACCTCTTGAAGAGAACAATTATTATTATAATTGTATATATTTAAAAAATGAGTTGCAGGGGTGCCTGGGGGGGTTCAGTTGGTTAAATACCATACTCTTGATTTCTGCTCAGGTCATAATCTCAGGGTCTGGGGATGGAGCCCCAGGTCGGGCTCTGTGCTCAGCAGAGAATACGCTTGAGGATTCTCTCTCTCTCCCTCTGCTCATGGGCACACTTGTGCACACACTCTCTCTAAAATAAATAAATAAATCTTTAAAAAAAAATGAGTTGCAGAAAAACTCACATGTGGTCCCATTGTAATGTTCTGAATTAAAGTTTATACATTAAAAATCTTAATATGTTTATTAAGCTCATGTATTTCAACGCCAAAGACAGTGACGGACCTACAGAAGGCGCTCAACAAATAGTAACAGGCATACAGTAAAATGGTATCTGCATTGTGAAATGTCTAACATGTTTTTTTCTCAAAATGCAATTTCCTCTTTAAGTTGTAAATATCCTCTAGGCAAAAATGATGAAAACTTCATAGTCTCCAAACTAGGCATTTTGTATAATTATCCTCAAAGACACAGTTTAATTTAGGCAGGGAGAACACTACCCTACATATTTGGCTCTAACTAAATTGCTCAAATACGTTGCTGAGAAATCAAGTAATGTGTTACCTGCTGTGAATCGCACACCACCCACCCCACGCCCCCTCCACGGTACTAACGCAAAAGTATGCCTCTTTCTACCACTTTGTGGACTTCTGAGTAACTTATTTTTTCAAATCTCTGTATCTATCTTAAAAGCAAAGTGCTCATGTCTCTCTTCCTCCCCTAACGCGAGACAAAGAGACAGTGTAAGATACTGGGTACTAGTTGTCAAAATTTAATTCTGTGTAATTAAATAATTAACACATGTAGCTTCATATTAATTCCCTGGAATAATGACATTTAGATCAAGGCACTGCCAACAAGGGGACTTCTGCGGAAGAAACAAAATCAACACTGCAGGGTTCTGGGAAAGGAAGCATGCCTGCTTCCAGCCGCCACAGTTCCTGACACCTGAAATGTAGGATCTCGTCCATATTCTTAGTCCAATCTCAGACTTTAAAGCGAATTAAACAAACTGACTTTCAGATAAATATAAAAGAAACCATGCCCTCAGAGATTCAACGTAAGCCTGCAGTTCTGTTTCTGTTCTCCACTAACCCCCAAATCCAGCCAAGAAAGGGTATTTTAATCAGAAGGCTTTATCGTGATACTGAAGTCCCACCAACCAGCAGATCTTGGTTCACAGGCCTGGACAGAAACGGTCTAAGCTCCTGAGCCCCCAGAGGCACAGCCAAGAGGGGGTGACCAGCTATGGAGGCTTTAATCATTTTCGAGATAAGGGCCCACTGATGAAATCTAACTCAATGAGATGCATGCGGATTCGCAAAACATCTCCAAGAATTTTAGGTCAGCACACCAGCACCTGGCAATCCTAACAGAGAAGGCTGACGTTTCTCTGTTAGGCAGCAATACCCCTTCACCTGAAGGTGCACCCGCCCAAAGCACCCTTATGCTGAGCCACTGAAACAGAAACAGATAAATAGCACTTTTTATCACAGCGGAACAAAGCAGACTCGGGCTGTGTTATTCCACCTGAATGCTAGTCGATCTTATTTTTTTTTTTTTTAAGTATTGAGTTTTCTTAACACTGATACTGCTACTCACACACGAGACAGTAAATAGAACCCCAGTGTGTCTCAACAGCATTTAACTCTCAAAAGAAGCACTTCTGTGATTGATAGGACAAGAAATGGAACTTGACCCTCAGTCAAAATAATAAACTTGCTGACCTGAATGTCTGGATTTACAGGCGGGGATAATAGGGAAGCCACAAAAAAACAGGCCCAGCCCCACAATGACGAAGCAATTTAACTGTGCCTCACCTTAAAAATGTGACAAAACTGAATAAGCAAAGGAACAGCCGTGTTAGGACACCTGGGATCAACGGCAGCCTAGTCCTGCCTCCTGAAAACAAGGCCGGGTTCTGTGTCTGTGTGCGGCCCATCGCCAGTTCACCAACACAGTGGGCTCCCCCTGCACCTTTACACCTGCCAGCCTCTACCTGTGCCCCTGCTGCCCCCCCAAAAAAACACCCGCCAACCCTCACAGCATGGCCTGCTCTGAAGTCCCTGGGGGCTGGGACCTCACAGCCCTCTCTGCACTCACAGAGCTCCTGCTGGCACCTGGGAAGCACCCATCATACTCACCACACACTGCTGGAATGAGGGATGTCTCCCCCTAACCCCCTTAAAAAGAAGCATCCTCTTAAAGGAGATTACTTCGCTTTCGCTTCTGAGTGAAGGACTCTGCTCTTCCTTCTGAGAAACAGCTTTTCTGAACCATTCTGGCTACCCATTTGGGGGAGTGGGAAATATGCATTTTCATGATTACTAACATTATTATATTGAAATGACCTACTGAAAAAAAGGACTAATCACATATACTTGTTCCAGATCCATTCCGAAGAAAAAGAGTGTAGCCTTTCCAAGAGGTCTCCTAATACGAGAAAAGCACAGCATCAGCATTTTCTCAAGGCAGCACGTAGAGTGACCCCTACTCCAACTGGGGGAGGGGGGGACCCTGGGGAAACCCGTGAGCTCCTCCATGAGAGGGGGGGCCATGAGCTCCTCCTCCAACAACAGGGGACAGGGGAAGGTATGCAGAACCAGCATCTTAGTGCACCATTCTGGCCCTCAACAGAAAGAGCATTTCGTCGCTAAGCCACGGCTACGGTGATGCCCCAAAAAACCCCACAAAACAATGAATCAGCTCTGCCCGGGTTTCCACTCCAGATATACCCTGAGCCCTAGCAGCGAATCCACCCCACGTTTTGTCCATCTGCGTTTCATCCCATGTGGTTAGCAAAACTCAGATTCTAATAAAACAGGTTTAAGTCTTACTAGGCAATATAAACACTATCTACCTAACTGAACAAAACAAGTCTTACCTCTTTTCTTAAAAAAAAAAAATGATGTTTTTTAATGTACAAAAAGGAAGAATAACCAAGTCACTCACAGGGTTTATATGCTGGATATCAAATTATCACAAGATGAGACAGAAAATGAACTCCTAGCATCCCAATTCTCCTTCCATTTGCTGCCAGTCTCAGGGCCGGCAGGCTTCACCTGCTAGTCAGCCGACCCTGTAACTAGTTCGATGCACGGGGATCCGGCTCCCTTTCTGTCACACCTGCCAAGCACCACACACCCTCCCTCGCCGGCCCTCAGGAAAGGCCACCATCCCATCCCACCCCCCAGATGAAGAAGTGAGGGCACACCAGCCCCAAGTCACCGTGGATGCTGGGCTGGAGACCACGGGGCCCCAGTCTATGGTCCCTGCTGCTCAGAGGCAGGTCCAGGACTGACCTGCCCCTTGACATGCTGGGTCCCAGCCGGGGGCCTGGCCACAGGAGCAGGGAGACAAGCCACACAGGAGGTCGTCCTCCCAGAAGCCCGCCTGGGCAGACGCCAGGGAAAGACACAGGGACGCTCCGAGGGTCAGGCCCCGGCCACCCGGCCCCCCAGCACCCTGCCACTGCCAGCTCCTGGCACAGGTCTTGAGAGGGATGACAAACAAGCTTTCTTCCTTTTAATTAAACTGCTAGGATCGACAGACATTTCCAAAGCATCTCCCCGCGGTGTGTCCTTGTGGAAAAACAGCTGAGCTTTCAGAGTGAAGATCTCTGACTCACCTCAGTGACTGGCCGTGGCGGAGGGCGGGGCGTGTCATCTCACCCCCTACAGCTGCACCATCCTATACAGCAGCCAAATGGGACTAGTCCAAATTGGGATGAGCCCTAAGTGTTAAGAACATGCCAGATTTCAAAGACTTAGTGTAAAAAAACAAAAACAAAAAAAATCTCAGTAATAATTTTTATGTCATTTAAATATTCAACTAACATTTTGCCTCTCTTGGGTTGTGTAAGACGTATTAACATTATTTATCTGTTTCTCTAACCTTTTCCATGTGGTTACGAGAAACTCTAAAATGACAGATGCATCAGAATTCTATGAGGCAGCACCGTCCTGGCCATGTCAGCACACTGCGGCCTCTAGGCCAAGTCCTGTCCTGCCCACCACCTGTTTTGTCAGGCTTCTGAGCTAAGAATGTGTTTTACATTCTTAAGTGGTTGGGAAAAAACCAAAAGAAGAATAACATTTTGTGACACATAAAATCATATGAATTTCAAGTTTCAGTGTCCATAAATAAAGCTTCTTTATTTGCTGACTTGCCGTCTATGGCTGCTTCTGCGCTCCAAGGCACAGCAGCTGCAACACAGAAGGGCTGGCCTACAAAGCCCAAAATATTTAATATCTGGCCCTTTACCGAAAAAGCCCACCAACCCCTGCCCTGGAGTCTTATAAATACAGACCCCTAGTTTCCAAAGCTCAATCCCCCACGGGTGGTCTTTGGCAGCACCTCGCCTTCCTCAGTCTACCTGGAGAATGGGCAAAGACTGACTGGAACCACTGGGGGGCTGATGCAGGAGCTTCCCTGCTTCAAATCCTCTTACCACCCTCTAAATCTCTATTTCCTGACAGATTACTCAAAATCTTTGTCCAGAGCAGATAGAACCACATATTGAGTCCACCATGTTCTGAGTCCCCAAGGGCTCAGGCAGCTGGTTCCCTCTCATGGGGCCTACACACTGGCTCCCAGCTCCTCTCCAGGGGTTCCTGGGTAAGCCCTGCCATCCTGAAGGTGAAGGAGCTTGGAGGGTGGAGGGACGGGTCCTCCATAATGTGATCTCCACACTGATACAACTCCAGATGGCTCAGATCAACTCTCAAATAAATAACATACCCTTTAGCAAGCATGAGGAAAGTCATAAACTCAAGATGATACACCAAGATGATAGCCCAGCTATGGGCTTGGACCAAGTCACCTGTGTGGATCTCAGCATGCTCCTGGGGGAACAGGGAGCCAAAAGGACTCCTTAGCTCCTGTTACAAATACCAAATGATACCCATAAGGAACGTGGGCCACCGCCTTGCTCATCGTGAGCATGTGATCAATGTTTGTAGAAAGGAAATGAGCCTTAACAGAGCACTTATGAGCTATTTATTTGGGGGCTGCTTATTTAGGCATTCACCAAATTTGATTCAAGTCTCTAAGAAGACATTAGTAATAAAAATTAAACTTCTCTAATATAATGGGAAACTGTAATGCTCAGTAACTTGGATCATATTTTCTTCTTTTTTTTTTTTGATATATTCTCATAGTGATTCAAAACCCAGCTCTCGGTGCTTTGGACTTTGTTATTAGGCCATTGGTTCTTTGTAAAATGGTCACTATGAGAATAACCTTTCCAAAGTCACTATCCATTGGCCATAAGAATATCAATGAAGGCACTGTCTACCTTTTAAAAAAAAAGTTATCTGTATAAAAACAACCAATATGAGAATCTATGTAAAAAGTTTCCTTTAGTGTGGGCACTAAAAGAGGCTTTCCTTCCACAGAACTGGTGAGTTTGCCCCTGTCATCAATTCAACAAATCAATGGTATGTTTCACTCTTTGTTTTAAAGAGCTACCAAAAAAGCTCCAATTCTAAATTTTGGTTGAAGTATACCCACTGGAAATGACCGCTGTGATATGGATATATAATCCTATTTTCTCCTTGTCACACGGTCTATTATTTCATTTCCTTGTTCTTGATTTCTATTAATGTTTCACTATATATTTAACGTGTGACCTCAGGTACACCTCATCCTATTTATGGAATGAGATGGGTACAAACCAGCAAACTCTTACTACTAACATACAAATAACAAGACTTCAATTACCAGATACTCAAATGAGCCTATATTCTCTTTATGGATGATTGTCCATAAGGTAGAACACTGATCAAACAAATCTATGCAATTCTGAGTTTATGCTGGACATAATATAGTTTTGTGGGTTTTTTTGTTTTTTGTTTTTGTTTTTTGATTTCTAGAAAGGCAGCAAACTACCTAGGATGTATATAGTTTTTGATAACCAATGAAAAAGTACTCAGTATTATCTTCTTCAGAAAAGGAAAAACAGATTCTAAACTGAGGTCTCAATTTACTGATTTTTTTTTTCCCTCTGAAGTGAAAACCTAGAATGTCAGCCCTTTTTGCTCACCTGGAGGATGCAAAATGGGGTAGGCTTTCTGAGCAGCTCTTGCATAATGAAGCAAAATTCATTGTGTTCTGGCCCGGCTCCCAATTTAACCAAGTCAAGCAGAAGGTTGGAGCCCTGTTCACATACTGGTCAGGCTGCCAGAGTCCCTCCAGCAACCAGCCAGTGCAATGGGCTGCTCTGTGGCCTCAGGCCTCAGTGCCATGGGAGAAAGAACAGGGGAACGAATGTGTCCCTGTGCTTGGCTCGCTCCTGTGCCCACCTTCCTTCCTCTCAGCTGCCATGCTGTCCACATGCACCAAGGATGCCGCTGCAGGAAAGGTGCCCACCGCCCCCTACCCTGCTCCAGCCAACAGCTCCCTTCCTGGGTCTGGGTCCTCCTCTGTCCCACCTCTCAGAGCACCTAGCATATCAAGACCCTTACACACCATCGTCCACTGCCGTTTAGGACCACATGCCCACAAGAAGCTGGCGCTTTATCACAATTACCATTCATCTTCTCTGATCCCTTTCCCTGAAATTTTTGGTGGCTTTTTTTTTTCTTTTATGGGTTTTCTATCTCATGCTAGTCATTTACTTTCTATGGTTACTGTCTGATTAAAAAGGGATGTTATTATTGGTGCTACCATTGGGTTTCCCAAGAAAATCTATATCCTGGCCCCGTGCTGAGCTGGAAATCTGTGCAAACAGCTGCTAGGTGTTTGGTGATCTGGGCTTCCCTCCTTGTCTGAGCTCCGCAATGCTGCAGGGACCTTGGAATGGGATGACCCGTCCGGTTCTCACACTAACACGATATCCCCACTGAGAGAGGCAAACATTTAGCCCACATTTTTTTCTTCTCTCTGGAGCTCATGCTGAGCATCAGAAGGTAAAACTAAAGTGGAGCATTATACTACCCACAGTCCTAAACACCCCGTCACTTGCCAGGTCTACACTCTGCGGTGCTAAATGAACCGCCGACAAAGTCACCTTGACGGTGGGCTTTCACCCACCTCCCCTCGCTGGGTAGCCTCCAGCATGTGTCGAAACTGGGAATCCAGAAACCTGTTTGAGCTCTGCTCTGTAGCCGTGGCCCTGGCTGAATCACTAAATCCATCTGTGTTTCAGGTCCTGTAAACCGTCAGGATTCACCCCAAACCATCTCTAAGTTTCCTACCGGCTATAACACAAAGAGAACCCTCAACATGAACCTTCTAAAACCAAGTTCAAAGAAAAATAACATATATTTACAAAGAAAGGTAAATTGTCACAAAAATAAATGTTGTCCTTCGCGGTCATTCTATGGAACTGATTTAACGCTCTTCACTGATAGGAAACTCATACCCTGGAGTAACAAGCCACACTGGCTCTGCCCCAGCCAGGAAGGTCCAGCTTCGGAAACCACCGCCCTGCTCGCTTCTAAAAGCTGCCCTTGTGGCTCAGAAGAGCTGACACACTCTCCAAAATGGTCTATTACTCTACTCCCACGGACAGTTGGAGACCTCAGGTAACGACTGCTTCAAATGCACGCTGACAACTGCCCCTCTACCGTTTGCAGCCAAACACCACACACGGACTGTAAATCATCTCCCGTGGGCAAACAGAATCCCAAACCCTAACTGCAGTCACTTCTGTTTTTAATGAATTCCTACAGATACTTAAAAATGCGCAGCTATTATAAAAATTAAACTTCCCTCCTAAAGTTCAGAATCCAAGCAGCCCATGTGATCGGTCATCAATCTAGAACACAACTGAGAAGCCAATCTTTCTGTGAAACCATTAACAGATTCTGCTTTTCTGTCACCAGGGTAATTTACTGAGGCCAATTTTAATCCTGCCACTAAACCACTAATCCCATGACTCTACAGTGCCCAAGTTTACGTTGCTACGGCAAGTACTTTTACATGAGGAATTCACTTATTTACCACCAGTCATGTTTTTTAAGTTGGCTCTAGGAATAAGATCATCTTCCTCGCCTCTTACTTTAAAAAGTAAAAAGCCATTTTTGGAATAAGGACACTCCTCGAACACCTGGGCTGCGCTGTACTCATCACAATAACACTAATGTAAATTACGCATGGTGTTACTCAAAGGGACAAATTATCGTCATTATGCTAATGGTCACGCTAAAGACATGAAAAGCTTTGGTGTGATGAATCTCAATCTGGTGGGAATATGATTATCAAATGTGAATGTTGATATTTTCTCAAACTGGCATAAAAATGTTCTCTCCGTGTCACTGATAATGTCAATATAAATTATGCATCACCAAAAGCAGCGTTCGTGCACGCCGCTGACATGCTATGAAGCGACACCCAGGCCCACCTTCCTGTCCACAGATGCCCTGCTCTGAAGGCACACACACACACACACACACACACACACACACACACACACACACGAGTATAAATGTGTTTACTTCTTCCCTTAAAACAGGAAAAACAGTCTGATTAAAGCTAATGAGACAGATTGAACGAGAAGGGCACCGAAAGACGCGTGAGCTCTGGTGGCAAGGCCACAGCCGTACAGGATGTTAACAATGGAAGCATAATCTTCCATGCTGTTCCCTCTTCATAAATTCCCGGGATGTCGCCTTAGCAGCCACTCTGGTGAATTAAACACAAGACTCTCCAAAAATTCAAAAGCAGTATCTGTAAACAAAACAAATCACTAAGTGAAAGCATCCCGGTCTGCCTCTGGATAATTCCAGAATA